TATCTTGTGGATTCTGTAAAAAGTGTTGATTTTGATGGTGTCAAAGAGAATAAGGGAGAAGATGGGATGGTGTTGATGGTTCTGATGAGAACGGTATGTGTGGTTTGAGAGATGTTGTCTGAACATGGAAGTGATAACGAGAAAAATGATATTGTGGATTTTATGAGAATTAATGATTTTGATGGCGTCCATGAGAATTTGGATGAGGATGATGTTGAAGGTTTTATGGAAAATGGTATGTGTACTTCAACAGTTGTTGAGTCTGAATATGAAAGTGATGATGTAGGTAGTGATAGAACCATGGGTAGCAAGCAAGCTGCTTTTTGTGATCCTGTGGAATTGTATCAGGAACTTCATAATATTGAAAACTGTGCGAAGCTGAAGCAAGCAGATTGGGAGATTGTAGAGGAAGTTTTCAATTATTTCAGTAAATCTGGGTGGGCAGCCAATCAATATCTTGCAATTTATATTGGCAGGTCATTTTTCCCTACTGCTGTTCATAAATTTCGTAGGTTTTTCTTCAAGAAATGTTCTGCTGTTGTTGCTAAGCACGTCATATCACTTGGTCCATCTGATGCTGCTGTTATGTTTCTTTTCCCTATATTTGTGGAGTTTTGTATTGAAGAGTTTCCCAACAAGATCAAGCTGTTTCGAAGTAAGATTCAGTCAGCTGATCTTAGAGAACCACATGCATGGTTTCCCTTAGCACAGGTAATGAAGTTATCATTGTGGCCCAACAAATAGTGGCAAGACTTACAATGCTTTGCAGCGGTTTATGAAGCAAAGAAGGCACAAGGAGTTTACTGTATCCACCACACAGGGCAAGAAAAGAAATATGTCCCGTTCTCAAATCATGTTGCCTGTACTGTAGAAATGGTATCAACAGAAGAATTATATAATGTAGGTGTGATTGATGAAAACCGGATGATGTCATACCTGTATAGAGGTTATGCATGGAAATGTGCATTGCTTTGATTGAAAGCTGATGAGATACATTTGTGTGGAGATCCAACTGTTCTGAATATTTTCAGAAAGATCTGTTCAGATACTGGAGATGATTTGCATGAACATCAGTATGGCAGGTTCAAACCATTAGTAGTTGAAGCCACGATTCTGTTAGGAGACCTTCGAAATGTTTGATCTGGTGACTATGTCATTGCTTTCTCAAGGAGAGAGATATTTGAGGTGAAAATGGCTATTGAGAAACATAAAACTCACTGCTGCTGTGTTATTTACAGTGCCTTGCCACCAGCGACTCGTAGACAGCAAGTTAACTTGTTTAATGATCAAAGTTTGATGTGCTTATTGCCAGTGATGCTGTGGGAATGGGATTGAATCTTAATATTAGGAGAGTTGTCTTTTATAGTCTTTCAAAGTACAATGGTGACAAGATTGTTGGAGTCCCAGCATCACAGGTTAATCAAATTGTGGGAAGAGCAGGTTGTAGAAGAAGTCATTATCCGAATGGACTGACAACAACCTTGCATTTAAATGATTTGGATTATCTAATTGAGTGTTTAAAGAAACCCTTTGAAGAAGTGGAGAAAGTGGGTCTCGTCCCTTTCTTTGAGCAGGTTGAATTGTTTGCTGGGCAATTCCCTATCGATAGTTTCTGCCAGTTACTTGAAAAATTTGGTGAAATTTGCCATTTGGTGGTTCATACTTTTTGTGCCAACATCTTTGTATTAAGAAGGTAGCAAATATGTTGGAAAAGATACAGGGAATATCTTTTGAAGATCGGTTCAACTTTTGTTTTGCTCCAGTCAATGTTAGAGACCCAAAAGCAATGTATCATCTGCTCAGGTTTTTCTTCAGCTTACAATCAAAATGTCCCGGATAGCTTAGCAATGGGCACGCCAAAAGGTTCTGCCAAAAATAATCAAGAACTCTTGGATCTTGAGACTAAACATCAAGTTTTTTCTATGTATCTGTGGCTATCTCACCACTTGAAGGAGGAAAGGAAACCTTTCCTTCCGTGAAAAAGGCAGAAGAAATGGCTATCGGTGTTGCTGACTTGTTGGGTAAATCTCTTGTCAATGCATGCTGGAAACCAGAATTGACCGGCAAAGAAACCTATGCCTCAAAAGAAGGAAGAAGGATATCAGAGACCAAGGTCACTTATCAAGTTACGTAAGAAGTAAGTTTATTGCAATTAAAATAACCACATGGGTTATCCCAGAATAAGAAATAGGGCATGGTACTCCAGTTTTAATTGTGTTCTGTTGTTTACTACTTTCTACTGTTGCTTTCAGCTAAATTTTAAAAGTTTATATTTGGCTATATTTTTTTCCCTTGTGATTAACCATCCATGCTAATAATTTGGTATTCTCCCTGCGGGAAAAGGCAAGATGAATCTCGCTGCAGCAATTGTGAACCAAAAACCATAAGTTTCTTGTGAAATTTGGAAAATTTTGATCTCTAAAGTATTATATGGTGTAGCAAAGATTTGGTCCTTTCCATGCATGAATTCCTTCGATGAAAATTTTACTGAAACTGAACCTATACCTTCTTATTAGCTTAGGAAAGGATAAGGGCCAAGTCAAAGTCAATCAGTGCTGCACCCTCTTTCCCTTTCTTGAAGAAAATTTGGCTACAATGTGAACACTGAAACAGGGAGAGAAGACGATGAGAAACTTGCCTGAGTTTTCTGGGCCAGGAAAGACTAAGAAAAGGCCAGGAAAGTATTGAAGTACACATCATTAGCCGAAAAACATGGACCATATGAAAAATTGTTCCCACGGTAGGACCTTTGTCGACCTGATGCTGTGATGCTGCATTTTCATCGTAAATGTGCAATATTTCCAGGTTAGAAAATTCATTGTTGACTATAAAAGTCAGTGCACGCAATTTGTTTGATACCTTGACTTAGACTACAAAACCTTCTATAAATCTCATACAATTATCTATAATTGTTGACAAGTGAAAAATATCAATGTTCTATAATTGATTCTCAGATAAGCTAGTTGGTCTAATTCCTTCCACTATGGGTCAATTGTCCAATTTGACTACTCTTGATCTATCCAACAATATGTTTGTTGGCTTAATCCCTTCTACTTTAAGTAAATTAACTGCTTTACAAACTCTGAATTTGTCCAACATTGTGCTCCTTGTTTCCATCCCTTTCATTGCCTCTTTGTTATCATTCATTGCGTTTGGCAATATTGTAGTATCATAAAATCAAAATTTTCAAATTTCTAGAGTTTGTGCTATATTATACCAAGATTATCTCATATATCATCATTGGCTTAATTACCAGAATTGTGTAAGAGAATAAACATTTCTTTCAAGATGGTTTAAATGGTATTATCAAAAACTTTTTTCAATGATTATAATAATTAATTTTAAATCAATTAAAGCTAAGCTATATTAGAGAATTGTTAAAACAAATTATCCGTCCTCTTATTAGCAGTTAATTTTAGGTTGAATTCCCGTCGTAAAATTTTCTACCTAGGGAGAGGAAGTGAGATTCAAAGCAGAGAATTGGAAAAGGTAGAGATCTTCGAATTTTCTTTGTAATTAATGTACAGAAAACATGAAAGGAGACCTTTAGTAATCATTTTTCTTTCTTTCTAAAGTCTAGAAGTAGTAGAAACAAAAGGTTAGGAAGTGCAGAAGAACATGCACCAAAAAACAGGAGATATAAATTTGTTTTTTTTTTTTTTTTTTATGAGAGAAAAATAAAATAAAATTGTTCTTTGTCTATACCATCAAGGAAAAAATTCTCCAATCTGGTTCAATGGATTCTATTTTATTGCAAGTCAATAGATGTGAAAGACATGTAAGGTTTGCTATTACTGGGAAGTAGCTTGTATTATCACTTATTCGTAGAATATAGAACATTTCAAAGCTTAGAAGTCATCACATTTAATATGATCCTTTGCGTGGCCCTATCTCATTTTAAAGATACAACACTTCAAAGAAAGAAAAGACTTTGACTCCGAAAATTGTTTATTTTTTAGTATTATTCTTTTATTTTGTTTAGTTTGGGTAAGACTTGAACTCTTAATGTTTTTAATGTAGTAGATTAAAATCTTTTTTTTTTTAATTATTTTTTTGAAATTTAATACAATTTTCAATTATCCAAAAAAGAGGACAATTAATAGAAACATTGTCTAAAACATTTTGAAAGACAAATTTTCAGGTATTCACGTAACATTTCATCTGTGGTATTTAACAACAGCTTATTATGCATAAAATAAAATTGGTAACATTCCAGCTATAAAAAAAATACATGCTAATTGAAGAAATTGTATGGTGTAGAATACGCTAGTACATGTCCTTTCTTTGAACTAACCTTCTTTGCAATAATAGACTTTAAGTAAACATCCAAGCAAAAGCTAGTCCACATTGGATCCTTTTCTAATTTACTGTTAGCTTTTAGAGATAGAAAACATGTGATCTTGCACTCGTCTGAACACAATGCTACAATTTGTGAAATGATCTAGTTTATTGCCCTACTATGAAAGAAATTCTCCAATTTGATCCATCGTGTTTTCTTTTCCATTTGAAATGAATAGTAGTCAATAAACATGTACTCCTGTTCAATGGAAAACATATGAAAAATGTGGCTGTTACAGGTACATGTTTTTGCTTCCTTGGTCAGGAGAAAAAAAAGAAAGCATAAAAGAAATAATAAAGATAGCATGCCTTAAAAATTAGGAATACCAACGGGATAAGATGAGTGTTTTTTCTCACACTAAATTTGATTTAACATTTTAATTATTTTACTTGAATATACTCTATCTTAAAATTCTGTTATTATTTTTGACATTTAATCTCAACCCAAAAAATATATGTATAACTTGAATTTGATTAGATTGATTTAAAATTTAATTTGATATAATTTTTATAAAAAAATTATTTTTAATATAAATTACATTTTAATTTTAGATAAAAAAAACTTTAATTTTATGGCCAAAAACAAAAGTAAAGAAAGAACAGTTGAAGTACTAAAATCAAAGTGAGGATTGAGTCTTTTAGATTGGTAAATATTTTTACCTTATGCATTTTAAAGATTAGCTAGCAACAGAGAAAGATGCTTGTCTTTTTCAAGTCATCTAAACACGGTATTGCAGTCTATGCACCAAATTGCTGGGAAAATGCATTATTCATATGTATAATTCCATGACATCTACAGAACAATCAATGACACCAATTGACTGACAAAAAGTAGAAGAAGACCTCGACTACTCCATCTTCAAATAAATTCATTACTCATTGGAAATCATAACATGCTACAACTTAACCTTTACCAGATATTCAAGCTAATAGACATGGCCTCATCCTTAACCAATTCCATTTTTCTAGGGGTGTTGTGGAGTACCATCCTTCTTTCCTTTGCTACAGCCCTGTTAGCAGCAGTATCTTCACTGGAATCAGAAGCTGTGGCTTTGCTAGAGAGTGGCTGGTGGAGTAACTATAGCAACGATACTTCACAACGTTGCAAGTGGCCCGGTATTTCATGCAACAATGCAGGAAGCATCACCAAAATTAACCCATCCGCTGACGTGATTCAGGTTGGTAATAGATTTGGAAAATTGAATTTCTCTTCGTTTCCAAATCTTGTCCTTCTTGATCTTAGCAATCGTAGAATTGGTGGAAATATCCCCCCTCAGATAGGTGATCTATCCTCATTGAAGCACTTGGACTTGTCCTATTGTGAGTTATCTGGTGAGTTACCTTCTTCCCTAGGAAACCTAACCCAATTAGAGTTTCTTGACATTTCCCATAATTATAACATTTCCATCCCTCCACAACTAGGGAATTTGAAAAACCTTGTTAGTTTAGATTTGAGTTGGGATCAGTTTGCTGGTCCAATCCCTTCTGCTTTGGGTCAATTAATCAATCTGAAATCTCTGGTTCTTTGGGGCAAAAAAATTAATGGATCCATCCCATTAGAAATTGGATATCTAACAAATTTGATTTATTTGGATTTCTATGGCAACAAGCTTGTTGGTTCAATCCCTTCTTCTATTGGTAATTTATCAAAATTGCTATATCTGTCCCTTGGTTCAAATCTTCTAGAAGGTCCTATACCAAAAGAAATTGGGAATTTAAATGCACTAACTCAATTATCCCTCTCTGGAAACAAATTGAGTGGTTCAATCCCTTCTTCTATTGGTAATTTATCAAAATTGCAATATCTGTCCCTTGATTCAAATCTTCTAGAAGGTCCTATACCAAAAGAAATTGGGAATTTAAATGCACTAACTCAATTATCCCTCTCTGGAAACAAATTGAGTGGTTCAATCCCTTCTTCTATTGGTAATTTATCAAAATTGCCATATCTGTCCCTTGGTTCAAATCTTTTAGAAGGTCTTATACCAAAAGAAATTGGGAATTTAGAAGCAGTAACAGAATTAGACCTCTCTGAAAACAAATTGAGTGGTTCCATCCCTCATCAGATCGGCAAGCTTTCAAATCTACAATATTTAAATCTCACCTACAACAATCTCTCAGGTGAAATTCCTGTCTTGGCGGCCACTGATCTCAAAATTGTTGATACCAATAATGGTTGTAAGACTATCTATCCCTATCCATTTGAAGGCAACAAGGATTTATCACCTTACCCCTGTGATTCACCAACCATTCAAACCAAGAGCAGTAGAACTCCTTACTTCACGAAAATATTCTTCCCGATTGCCATATTCTCTACTTTTTCTATTCTAGGGAGTTTGTTTTTATGGCAGTTCAAGGCCAAAAAGAACCAATCTGGTTCACAAACAACAAAAAATGGGGATTTGTGCTCAATATGGAACTATGATGGAAAGATAGCATATGAAGACATTATTGCAGCAACAGAAGATTTTGATATTCGATACTGCATTGGAACTGGGGGTTATGGAAGTGTTTACAAAGCACAACTACCATGTGGTAAAATAGTTGCTTTGAAAAAACTTCATCGCCTTGAAGCTGAGGATCCGGGTTTTGACAAGAGTTTTAGGAATGAGGTAAAAATTTTGTCCGAAATTCGACATCGAAATATAGTGAAGCTTTATGGATATTGTCTACACCGACGTTGCATGTTCCTGATATATGAATACATGGAAAGAGGAAGCTTGTTCTACGTCCTAAGTAATGATGATGAAGCTGTGGAGTTGAATTGGATAAAAAGAGTTGAGATCATCAAATCCGTTGCTCATGCCTTGTCTTACTTGCATCATGATTGCACCCCCCCCAATTGTTCATCGAGACATTTCAAGTAACAATATCCTGCTAAACTCAAACTTGGAGGCCTTTGTGGCTGATTTTGGAACCGCTAGAATGCTACATCTTGATTCATCTAATCTGACTGTTCTTGCCGGTTCATATGGCTATGTAGCCCCAGGTAATATTTTGTTACCTTCTACTACGTCATTGGCTTTTTTTTTCTTTTCGATATTGGTTCTCTTTCAATTATATTTGTATTTAATTAGTTTTCTTTTTCATGTATGTAATTTGTTTATGTAGAATTGGCCTACACAATGGTTGTGACCGAAAAATGTGACGTCTATAGCTTCGGCGTTTTGGCATTAGAAACGTTAATGGGAAAGCATCCTGGAGAACTTTTGTCATCATTGTCATCGCCATCTTCTTTGCAAAATATCAAGCTAATTGATGTGTTAGACAGACGTCTACCACCTCCAACAAGCCAACTGGTTGCACAAAATATTGTTCACGCTGCTACACTAGCATTTGCTTGCTTACATACGAAACCAAAGTCCCGACCAATGATGGAAGAAGTGTGCAAAGAGTTTCTTTCTTCCCAAAAATCTTTAGGGATTCCTCTCCGAATGATTACTTTGTTGCAACTAATGAACCGTCAAATGCATATTGGTGGCCAAAGTGGAACTTGTCCTGTCTAAAGCGGTTAAATAACTAATTTTGTTTGTAAAATTTTTTTTCAATTTATAATGTATTGTTATTGTGAACTCTCATTGTCTAATCTATAATTAAATAATCAGAAAATTTAGAATACACGTGCGTATTTGTCTAAAATTGATCTCTTTATCTTCTTGGTCGTTTTGTCTAATTTCACTATGGAGTTGCTTGATTTAACCAGACTACATTTGGTCCGCTTCCAAGTGGGTCATCAATGCCCTTTACAAGAAAATATAGCAAGCATTGACCCCAACGAAAGGTGCATCACATCCATGACTGACTCCTAAAACAACTATTTGAATTGGTCGCCTTTGATCTCTCTGACAAAGTGAAAATCAACTTGTTGGCAGTCTCTTCCATCATGGGCCAATTCACTAAATTGGTTACAATGAATATGTCCATGAACGGCCATGTCAGCCGTATCCCTGCCAATGTGGGCCGATTAACCCACAATTAGCCTAGTTCCACCCACTGTAGGACAATTAACTCATTTGACGGTGCTAAATCTGTCCCTGTAACATGCTTGACGGCTCAATCCGTTCCATTCTAGGTTAATTAATTAATATGATGGTGCTGTATCTATCCTACAACATTGTTGATGGCTCAACCCTTCCATTCCAGGTCAATTAATGAATTTGGTGGAGCTTCATCTCTCCCACAACATGCCTGTTGGTCCAATCCCTTCCTTTTTAGAACATTTAAACAAGCTTGTGTACTTGCAGTCAATAAATTAAATTGAATAGAAGTTGAGAAGCTAAAGAATTTGGTTGAAATTTTGTCCGAAAAACTTATGGTTCAGTCCTTTTCCATTTGTTTCCATTATCCAATTTGTCGCATTTGACGCTTGACAACAACAAAATTAATAGTTCCATCTCTCCAGAAGTTGGGAATTTGAAGAACATCATTTTCTATTTTAGCATCATTAACAACGGAGGAATAGGTCCAATCATGTCATTTGACAAATTTGGAATCTCTTTACCATATCAAAAATCAAATTGATGGTCGCCTCTCTTCATAATTGAGGAACTTTTAGAATTTAGTATTTGATTTAAGAAAATAGAGCCATTTTTTATTTTCATTCTCTTAAAAAATAAAAAAAATACAAGTGAAAACGTAGTAGGTAATTAAAAATGAAAACAGATTTTTAAAAAACAAAAATGAAAATGGGTAGAAATATGAAAATAAAAAAATATTTTTAATTATGAAAACAAAGAGATATACATTACTTTTTTTTTTTACGTTTTGCAAGTTATTATATTTGAACACTTATCAACATTATTAATTAACAAATATATATTATATTTATAGTTAGATGACATTAATAATAATATCATTAAATATTTGCAAAATTATAATTAAGTAACATTATTTTATTTTGCATTTTTTCATTTTGTTCATTGTTCTACTAAATTCATTTATTTTTTATTATAAATAACAAAAATATCTTTTATTTTACTTTATCCCCTAAGAACTTGTGATTTAATTTATTAATGAAAGATAATTATTTTATTTTTATTAAAAAATAATATCAAATAATTATTTCAACATTTTACGTTATTTTTTCATTAAGTTTATCAAAAGCTATTTTAATTTCTCTTTACAATAATAAAATAACTCTACTCCAACAACAATTCTTATAAAAAGTTTAATAAAATCAAATAGACTCTGAATACTTTTGATCTAATAACGGGTACCAAAGTAACAAATTCGATGGTCGAATCCCTCCTGTAATTTTAGAAGGTCCCATACCCAAAGAAACTAGTAATTTAGAATTCCTGACTTGGTTGTCCCTCTCTCAAATCAAATTGGATGGATTCATCCCACCAGAAAATCGAATTGCTTTGGAAATTGTGGATGTGAGCACCAACAATTTAGAAGGATGTATCCCGCCTAAAATTGGTATGCTCTTTCCACTGAACACTGTCGACCCTAGTCATAATTTTATCAGCAGAGAGATACCTTCCCAACTTGGAGATTCAATGAATCCGAGCATCTATGATATAAGTTACAACAATCTCTCAGGTCCTCTTCCTCCCTCTTTTAAGTTACAACAATTCGAGTATCTATGATATTGCACTGTCTGTCGATATGACTATGTCATAGGCCGTAACTGATGGAAAATGGATTCCAATGCATTTGTGTGTAACAAAAATTTTGTTGGGATGGTTAACATATGAGTAAAAAATTTTACATTAATAAGAAATCTGAATGAGATGTCTTATATATATATGAAAAATCCAATAACCCAATAACTTAAATTTTTATATTCAAGTGGTATTTAATATGTATAAATAAACTCTCTCATGTACTCTCATGAGTTTTAAGTGTGACGTAACTTCCCAACAAATTTGTCCCTGAAGCCGTATCCTTGTCCTATTTCCACGTTCACTGGTGTCATAAAGAAGAATTGAGACATATTTTCATTATGGAACTTTAATGGAGGATTGCATTCTAAGATATTATTGAAGCAACGGAGGATTTTGAAATCCGATATTGTATTGGAACTGGGGTTATGGCAGTGTTTACAGTGCACAACTACCAAGCGGTAGAGTAGTTGCATTGAAAAAACTTCATAGGCTAAAAGCTTAGAACCCAGCTTTTGACAGGAGTTTCAAGAATGAAATAAAGCTATTATCAGAAGCAAACTGCAAATTTTTTCTTTTGAAAATAGGGATTTCTGGAAAAGAAGTAAAACATGGTCATTGTTTTATGATTTTGTACTATTCTTTTTTTTCCTAATATAGTTACTTTATGTAGAACTTGCCTACACGATGGTTGTGACCGAAAAATGTGATGTTTATAGAATTTGGAGTCTTGGTAATGGAACTTTGATGGGAAAACATCCTGGAGAACTCATATCATCATTGTCATCACCGTCTTCTTCGCAAAATATCATACTAATCGATGTAATGTTTTAGACCAACGTCTATAACCTTCAACGAATCCAGTGGTTGCACAAAATATCGTTCTTGCAGCTAGACTAGCATTTGCATGCTTGAGCCGTGAACCGAAGTCCCATCCAACAATGAAACAAGTTTCTCAAGAATTCCTTTCTCCCCAAAGATCATTACGCCGACTTCTCTGGACAATCTCCTTGTTCCAGCTTGGTGTACTATGAGATGCATATGGAAGATGTACGACTCTCCACTGCATTCTATGCCAACTATTGTTTGATGCTGTTAGATCTTATGTTCAGCAATAAATTGAACATTTAGTTTTGGGAAGCATATCTGCTTTTTCGCTCCATTTTCCTTTCCTTCGGTGTCTGCTGCATGTATTTGACATTCACATTTTACAATCCAAAATGTTGCAGTATGTATATTTATCATGTCGCTATTCATTAACTAGGAAAAGCAACTTGAGAAAAAGACTTGATCAACAAAAATAACCCAAAGAAAAAGTTACTTTTACGGAGAACATTGACATCTTAAACCCAAAAATATTTACAGTTGACAAACTGCCCTGCCCTGTAACAACCTGTGTGATGATTTCATGGGCTTTTCTTAAAAAAATATTTAATGATATCAAAATATTGATAATAAAATGAATGAAATGATTTATATAATATAATATTTTTAAGTTAAAATTATTCAGTAGTAATACTCTTTTCTTTAATTCTCTACATTAACTAATTTTAAAACTTAATTAACTCCTATATATGTATTATTTTCAATAATTAATTCAATACAATAAATAAAAAAATTAAAACTAGTTTTACTATTTATAATCACAAAAGCAATCACAATTGAAAGTTAACACTATTTAAAATAAGTCATCGTGGTTTGTTTTTTGAAGCGTCAATCCAAACAAAATTTATTAATATCTATTATTATTATTCAGAATATATATTTTTATTTATGAAATTGTTTTAAATATTTGTTAAGATAGAAATTTTGAAATAATAATGAAATTAGCTGGATATACCATCATTACAATCTATAACTTTAACTTAATCATTCAAAAAATTATTTAATTATTTAATTTAGGAAAAAGACAAATATATAGATTCGGAAAAGAATAACTAGTAGAATATGCAAATAAAGTAATGTTAAAAAATAAATGATAACTTGTGAAAAAATAAAATAATTTCTTTACTGTAAATTAGAAAATATTCGGTCAGAATTGCAATTATGTTACTTGGAAGAAAATGATTCTGTTAAAACAACGCAAAAATGTGGAAAAATAATAGCTAAATTTTCATTTTGGTCTCTGACATTTGAATATTGCTTAAATCAGAACTTACCATTCTAATTTTAATAAATCAGGATATTATTTATTTCAAAAGTAACAATTAAAGACTTGAATTTCAATGGATGAAGTTTAGGCAGTGCATTATAGGTATCGTAGTTTTGTCAGATGACTGATATCTCTATTAAATAATATATTTTTTTTCAACACTAAATAATATATATTTATATAAAGGCAAGTAAAATGTCTATATATAAATTATTTTTTAAAAAAGACAATTAATTAAATTTAAATAAATACAATAAATTTCTTTTAATATAAGATGTTTTTCTATTTTATTGTTGCTCTACATATCCTTTTTACATTTGTTTCTTTTTCTTGTTTGGCAAAGCTTGCTTATATTAAGGTAGTAATTGAAAAATGTGACGTTTAGAGTTTTGGAGCATTGGCATTAGAAGCAAAGATATCAGTTTTATTCTATTTAATAAAAAATTTAATTTTTTATTAAAAAAATAGAGATGAATATTTTATTATAAAGATGAGGATAAATATAATTTTAAATTTTTTTTTAAATATGGAGATAATAAAGGATAATATAGCACTAGTCTCATATTCATACTTTACATATATATTTATATATATTTAGTAAATAGATTTTTATTAAATAATATAAATTATTATTTTAGATTAATTAGAATTAATAGATTTTTATTGAAAAAAATATATATTAATATATATATATTTATAAAAAATTATTTAAATATATAAATAAAAATTAAAAAAATTATTTTTATTTTTTTAAAATACAAATATGTGAATTACATATGCTCATTAATTATCTGCATAAATGAATATAAAAATAAATTTAAAATATTCTTTAAATATAGATACGAAAATGAGTAAAATATAAATTTTAAAGATGGAGATGAAAAATATTTACCCTTTTCATTGGAAGCGCTTTTTTAGGGTCATTGATTTATTATTATTATTATTATTATAAGATAAAAAGAAAACATGCGGGCTAAATAACTGACTATCCAGACATTTGGGCCAACTCAAAGGCTACAAAACCCATTAAACTTCGAGTCACTGGACTCAAATCTGACTTAGTCTAGCCCCCCGAGTTCCTAACTTCCTCAGTTCCTCTGTAATAATTCCAAACCGACTCTGGGTTTATGGTTTTCGGTGGCTTAATCGTTGCCACTATTTTCCCTCCATTTCCTCTCTCTCACTGTCTCTCAATCCTCTTCCAGGTAAGCTCCATCAAATCCTCATTTTCTTTTTGCCTTAGTGTCCTTTTCTATTGTCACAATTTAACACCTTTTAACTCATTGCAATTTCTGTGGCCAGACAAAAAAAAAGTTTATTGCAATTTCAAATTTCGATTGTCTTAGGAGGTTGGGTTTTTATTCTCTTATGTAGCTATTGAATGGGAAGAGGCTTGGCAACGTTTCTGTTTAGAATCTATACATCTAAGTGCAATGTTTGTGGAGTTAACTTTATGTTATCCATTCGGCATTTTCATTATTTTAGGCAATTAGAAAACTGGGTTATGGATAAGGACCCTTTTGTTCCATCTTTGGATGTGCCCAAATGAGAGTTTCCAGCGAATTTGGTTGGTCTAGTTTGTAAATTTGGGAACTATTAGATGCTAATGTGAGACCTTTTTCGTCTGTTGTTGAAAATGGGGATGATGATGATGACGGGGAGGATTGTGGAATGCGTGGTTCGAGAAGGAAAAGAAGTAAGAAGGGGAAATGTCTTGTGGATTCTGTAACAAGTGTTGATTTTGATGGTGTCAAAGAGAATAAGGGAGAAGATGGTGTTGATAGTTTTAACGGAGAACCGTAGGTGTGGTTCGAGAGATGTTGAGTCTGAACATGGAAGTGATAAAGAGAAAAAGGATATTGTGGATTTTATGAGAATAAATGATTTCGATGACATCTATGAGAATTCAGATGAGCATGATGTTGAAGATTTTAAGGAAAATGGTCTGTGTACTTCAACAGTTGTTGAGCCTAAATATGAAAGTGATGATGTAGGTAGTGATAGAACTGTGGCTAGCAAGCAAGTTGCTTTTTGTGATCCTGTAGAATTGTATCAGGAACTTCATAATATTGAGAACTGTGGGAAGCTGAAGCGAGCAGATTGGGAGATTGTACAGGAAGTTTTCGATTATTTCAGTAAATCTGGGTGAGCAGCCAATCAGTCTCTTACAATTTACATTGGCAGGTCATTTTTCCCTAATGCTGTTCATAAGTTTCAAAGCTTTTTCTTTAAGAAATGTTCAGCTGTTGTTGCTAAGCTCGTGATATCACTTGGTCCATCTGATGCTGCTGTTAAGTTTCTTTTCCCTATATTTGTGGAGTTTTGTATTGAAGAGTTTCCCAACGAGATCAAGCAGTTTCAAAGTATGATTCAATCAGCTGATCTTAGAGCCATGTACATGGTTTCCCTTTGCACTGGTAATGAAGCATAAGATTATTTATCATTGTGGCCCAACAAATAGTGGCAAGACTTACAATGCTTTGCGGCGGTTTATGAAGCAAAGAAGGGTATTTATTGCAGTCCACTTAGGCTATTGGCTGTGGAAGTTTTTGATAAAGTGAATGCACAAGGAGTTTACTGTAGCCATCACACAGGGAAAGAACAGAAATACGTCCCGTTAGCGTAGCAATTGGCATGCCAAAAGTTTCAGCTAAAAATAATGCAGAACTCCTGGATCTTGAGACTAAACACCAAGTTTTATCTATGTATCTGTGGCTATCTCACCACTTCAAGGAGGAAACTTTCCTTGCGTGAAAAAAGCAGAAGAAATGGCTATTGATGATGCTGAAAACCAGAATCGAGACATGCAAAGAAACCTATGCCTCAAGAGAAGGAAGAAGGATATTAGAGACAAAGGTCACATATCAAGTTACGTGAGACGTAAGTCTCTTGCAATTAAAATAACCACTTGGATTATTCCAGAATAAGAAACACGGGATGGGATTCCAGTTTTAATTATGTTATATTGTTTATTACTTTCTACTGTTGCTTTCAGCTAAATGTAAAAATTTATATTTGGCTATTTTTTTCCCTTGTGATTAACCCTCCATGCTAATAATTTGGTATTCTCCCCGCAGGAAAAGGCAAGATGAATCTCCCTGCAGTAATTGTGAACCAAAAACCATAAATTTTTCATGAAATTTTGAAAAATTCGGTCTCTAAGGTATTATCTGGTGTAGCAAAGATTTGGCCCTTTTCATACATGAATTCCTTTGATGAAAATTTTACTGAAACTGAACCTATACCTTCTTATTCGCTTAGGAAAGGATAAGGGCCAAGTCAAAGTCAATCAGTGCTGCACCATCTTTCCCTTTCTTGAAGAAAATTTGGCTACAATGTGAACAATGAGGCAGGGAGAGAAGACAATGAGAAACTTGCCTGAGTTTTCTAGGCTAGCAAAAGAGTAAGAAAAGGCCAGGAAAGTATTGAAGTAAATTTCATTAGCCAAGAAACATGGACCATATGAAAAATTGTTCCCACGGTCGTACCTTTATCGACCTGTTGCTGTTACGCTGCATTTCACCATAAATGTGCAATATTTCTAGGTTAGAAAAGTCATTGTTGACTATTCAAGTCATTACACGCAATTTGCTTGGCACTCTGACTTAGACTACAAAACCTCCTATAAATTTCATACAATTATCTATAATTGTTGACAAGTTGTGAAAAATATCAATGTTCTATAATTGATTCTTCAAATAAGCTCAACCATTGCTTCATTCTCGATCACTTTCATAATCACTTTCAAACAGGTCTCTGATGAGTTTCTTCGTCAACTAAGGCCTTGAGCAAAGCCTCTTGGAGAAATTTCATTGTTGCAATTCATGGATCCTGAAATGTGGAAGGAAAAGGGTGCAAATGAATCATATTCTTCACATCATGCATGCTGACAATTAGGGTTAGATTGTTCTGCCATCTAAGATCTCATGTTAAGCTTCAATTTTAAATCGGAAAGAATTATTTATTTCTTTGTGTTTTTTTTTCCTTTTTAGCGATCATTCATTGTGTTTGGTAATATTTTAGTACCATAAAATCAAAGATTTCAATTTTCAAAAGTTTGTTCTATATTATTCCAACATCATCTCATATATCATCATTGACTTACCAAAATTGTATAAGAGCATAAACATGAATGATGAGCTTCAACTTTAAATTGAAAAGAATTATTCGTTTCTTCATGCTTTTTTTTTTCTTGCCTCTTTGTCATCATTCATTGCATTGGCAATATTGTAGTATCATAAAATCAGAAATTTCAATTTTCAGGAGTTTGTACTATATTATACCAACATCATCTCATATATTATCATTGGCTTAATTATCAGAATTGTGTGAGAGCATAAACATTTCTATCAAGATGGTTTAAATGGTATTATCAAAAAACGTTTTTCAATCATTATAATAATAAATTTCAAATCAATTAAAGCTAAGGTCTAATAGAGAAATGTTAAAATAAATTATCCATCCTCTTATTATTAGTTAGTTTTAGGTTGAATTCCCATCATAAAATTTTCTACCTAGGAAGAGGAAGTGAGATTCAAAACAAGAATTGGAAAAGGAAGAGATCTTAGAATTTTCTTTGCAATTAATGTATAGAAAACATGAAAGGAGAGACCTTCAGTAATCAGTTTTCTTTCTTCCTAAAGTATAGAAGTAGGAAAAAAAAAGGTTAGGAAGTTCAGAAGAACATGCACCAAAATACGGGAAAAATAAAATAAAATTGTTCTTTGTCTACACCATCAAGGAAAAAATTCTCCAATTTGGTTCAATGGATTCTATTTTCCATTGCAAGTCAAAGGACGTGAAAGACACGTAAGGTTTGCTGTTTCTGAGAAGTAGCTAGTATTATCACTTATTCGTATAATATAGAACATTTCAAAACTAATCTGTATGAGAAGTCATCACATTTAATGTGATCCTTTGCATGGGCCTATCTCATTTGAAAGACACAACACTTCAAAGAAAGATAGAAAAGACTTGGACTCCGAAAATTGGTTTTTTTTTTTATTATTATTATTCTTTTAATTTGTTTAGTTTGGGTAAGACTTGAACTCTTAATGTTTTCATGTAGCAGACTAAAATCTACTTTTTTATTTTTTATTTTGAATTTTAATACAATTTTCAATTATCCAAAAAAGAGGACAATTAATTGAAACAGTGTCTAAAACATTTTGAAAGACAAATTTTCAGGTTTCACATAACATTTCAGCTGTGGTATTTACCAACAGCTTATTATACATAAAATAAAATTGGTAACATTCCAGCTATAAAAAAAAAAATACATGCAAATTGAAGAAATGGTATGGTGGAGAATAAAGCGCTAGTACATGTTGTCCTTTCTTTGAACCAACTTTCTTTGCAATAATAGACTTTAAGTAAACATCCAAGCAAAAGCTAGTCCACATTGGATCCTTTCCTGATTTACTGTTAGCTTTTAGAGATAGAAAACATGTGATCTTGCACTCGTCTGAACACAATGCTACAATATGTGAAATGATCTTGTTTATTGCCCTACTATGAAAGACAGAAATTCTCCAATTTGATCCAACGTGTTTTCTTTTCCATTTGAAATGAACAGTAGTCAATAAACAAGTACTCCTGTTCAATGGAAAACATATGAAAAATGTGGCTGTTACAGGTACATGTTTTTGCTTCCTTGGTAAGGAGAAAAAAAAGAAAGCATAAAAGAAATAAAAAAGATAGCATGCCTTAAAAATTAGGAATAGCAACGGGATAAGATGAGTGTTTTTTCTCACACTGAATCTGACTTGACATTTTAATTATTTTACTTAAATATACTCTATCTTAAAATCCTGTTATAATTTTTGACATTTAATCTCAACCCAAAAAATATATGTATAACTTAGAATTTGATTCGATTAATTTAAAATTTAATTTGATATAATTTTTATAAAAAAATTATTTTTAATATAAATTACATTTTAATTTTAGATAAAAAAAACTTTAATTTTATGGCCAAAAACAAAAGAAAAGAAAGAACAGTTGAAGTACTAAAATCAAAGTGAGGATTGAGTCTTTTAGATTGGTAAATATTTTTACCTTATGCATTTTAAAGATTAGCTAGCAACAGAGAAAGATGCTTGTCTTTTTCAAGTCATCTAAACACGGTATTGCAGTCTATGCACCCAAATTGCTGGGAAAATGCATTATTCATATGTATAATTCCATGACATCTACAGAACAATCAATGACACCAATTGACTGACAAAAAGTAGAAGAAGACCTCGACTACTCCATCTTCAAATAAATTCATTACTCATTGGAAATCATAACATGCTACAACTTAACCTTTACCAGATATTCAAGCTAATAGACATGGCCTCATCCTTAACCAATTCCATTTTTCTAGGGGTGGTGTGGAGTACCATCCTTCTTTCCTTTGCTACAACCCTGTTAGCAGCAGTATCTTCACTGGAATCAGAAGCTGTGGCTTTGCTAGAGAGTGGCTGGTGGAGTAGCTATAGCAACAATATTTCTCAACGTTGCAAGTGGCACGGTATTTCATGCAACAATGCAGGAAGCATCACCAAAATTAACCCATCTGCTGCCTTGATTCCGGTTGGTGATAGATTTGGAAAATTGAATTTCTCTTCGTTTCCAAATCTTGTCCTTCTTGATCTTAGCAATCGTAGAATTGGTGGAAATATCCCGCCTCAGATAGGTGATCTATCCTCATTGAAGCACTTGGACTTGTCCCATTGTGAGTTATCTGGTGAGTTACCTTCTTCCCTGGGAAACCTAACCCAACTAGAGTTTCTTGACATTTCCTATAATTATAACATTAATGGTTCCATCCCAACACAAACAGGGAATTTGAAAAACCTTGTTAGTTTAAATTTGAGTTGGGATCTGTTTGCTGGTTCAATCCCTTCTTCTATTGGTAATTTATCAAAATTGCTATATCTGTCCCTTCCTACAAATCTTCTAGAAGGTCCTATACCAAAAGAAATTGGGAATTTAAATGCACTAACTCAATTATCCCTCTCTAGAAACAAATTGAGTGGTTCAATCCCTTCTTCTATTGGTAATTTATCAAAATTGCAATATCTGTCCCTTCATTCAAATCTTCTAGAAGGTCCTATACCAAAAGAAATTGGGAATTTAAATGCACTAACTCAATTATCCCTCTCTGGAAACAAATTGAGTGGTTCAATCCCTTCTTCTATTGGTAATTTATCAAAATTGCTATGTCTGTCCCTTCCTTCAAATCTTCTAGCAGTCCTATACCAAAAGAAATTGGGAATTTAAATGCACTAACTCAATTATCCCTCTCTGGAAACAAATTGAGTGGTTCAATCCCTTCTTCTATTGGTAATTTATCAAAATTGCTATGTCTGTCCCTTCCTTCAAATCTTCTAGCAGGTCCTATACCAAAAGAAATTGGGAATTTAAATGCACTAACTCAATTATCCCTCTCTGGAAACAAATTGAGTGGTTCAATCCTTTCTTCTATTGGTAATTTATCAAAATTGCAAGATTTGTCCCTTGATTCAAATCTTCTAGAAGGTCCTATACCAAAAGAAATTGGGAATTTAAATGCACTAACTCAATTATCCCTCTCTGGAAACAAATTGAGTGGTTCAATCCCTTCTTCTATTGGTAATTTATCAAAATTGCAAGATTTGTCCCTTGATTCAAATCTTCTAGAAGGTCCTATACCAAAAGAAATTGGGAATTTAAATGCACTAACTCAATTATCCCTCTCTGGAAACAAATTGAGTGGTTCAATCCCTTCTTCTATTGGTAATTTATCAAAATTGCTATATCTGTCCCTTGGTTCAAATCTTCTAGAAGGTCCTATACCAAAAGAAATTGGGAATTTAGAAGCAGTAATAGAATTAGACCTCTCTGAAAACAAATTGAGTGGTTCAATCCCTTCTTCTATTGGTAATTTATCAAAATTGCTATATCTGTTCCTTCCTTCAAATCTTCTAGAAGGTCCTATACCAAAAGAAATTGGGAATTTAAATGCACTAACTCAATTATCCCTCTCTGGAAACAAATTGAGTGGTTCAATCCCTTCTTCTATTGGTAATTTATCAAAATTGCTAAATCTGTCCCTCTCTGGAAACAAATTGAGTGGTTCAATCCCTTCTTCTATTGGTAATTTATCAAAATTGCTAAATCTGTCCCTCTCTGGACACAAATTGAGTGGTTCAATCCCTTCTTCGATTGGTAATTTATCAAAATTGCTATATCTGTCCCTTGGTTCAAATCTTTTAGAAGGTCTTATACCAAAAGAAATTGGGAATTTAGAAGCGGTAACAGAATTAGACCTCTGTGAAAACAAATTGAGTGGTTCCATCCCTCGTCAGATCGGCAAGCTTTCAAATCTACGATATTTAAATCTCACCTACAACAATCTCTCAGGTGAAATTCCTGCCTTGGCGGCCACTGATCTCAAAATTGTTGATACCAATAATGGTTGTAAGACTATCTATCCCTATCCATTTGAAGGCAACAAGGATTTATCACCTTACCCCTGTGATTCACCAACCATTCAAACCAAGAGCAGTAGAACTCCTTACTTCACGAAAATATTCCTCCCGATTGCCATATTCTCTACTTTTTCTATTCTAGGGAGTTTGTTTTTATGGCAGTTCAAGGCCAAAAAGAACCAATCTGGTTCACAAACAACAAAAAATGGGGATTTGTGCTCAATATGGAACTATGATGGAAAGATAGCATATGAAGACATTATTGCAGCAACAGAAGATTTTGATATTCGATACTGCATTGGAACTGGGGTTATGGAAGTGTTTACAAAGCACAACTACCATGTGGTAAAATAGTTGATTTGAAAAAACTTCATCGCCTTGAAGCTGAGGATCCGGGTTTTGACAAGAGTTTTAGGAATGAGGTAAAAATTTTGTCCGAAATTCGACATCGAAATATAGTGAAGCTTTATGGATATTGTCTACACCGACGTTGCATGTTCCTGATATATGAATACATGGAAAGAGGAAGCTTGTTCTACGTCCTAAGTAATGATGATGAAGCTGTGGAGTTGAATTGGATAAAAAGAGTTGAGATCATCAAATCCGTTGCTCATGCCTTGTCTTACTTGCATCATGATTGCACCCCCCCAATTGTTCATCGAGACATTTCAAGTAACAATATCCTGCTAAACTCAAACTTGGAGGCTTTTGTGGCTGATTTTGGAACCGCTAGAATGCTACATCTTGATTCCTCTAATCTGACTGTTCTTGCCGGTTCATATGGCTATGTAGCCCCAGGTAATATTTTGTTACCTTCTACTACGTCATTGGCTTTTTTTTTCTTTTCGATATTGGTTCTCTTTCAATTATATTTGTATTTAATTAGTTTTCTTTTTCATATATGTAATTTGTTTATGTAGAATTGGCCTACACAATGGTTGTGACCGAAAAATGTGACGTCTATAGCTTCGGCGTTTTGGCATTAGAAACGTTAATGGGAAAGCATCCTGGAGAACTTTTTGTCATCATTGTCATCGCCATCTTCTTTGCAAAATATCAAGCTAATTGATGTGTTAGACAGACGTCTACCACTCCAACAAGCCAACTGGTTGCACAAAATATTGTTCACGCTGCTACACTAGCATTGCTTGCTTACATACGAAACCAAAGTCCGACCAATGATGGAAGAAGTGTGCAAAGAGTTTCTTTCTTCCCAAAAATCTTTAGGGATTCCTCTCCGAATGATTACTTTGTTGCAACTAATGAACCGTCAAATGCATATTGGTGGCCAAAATGGAACTTGTCCTGTCTAAAGCTGTTAAATAACTAATTTTGTTTGTAAAATTTTTTTTCAATTTATAATGTATTGTTATTGTGAACTCTCATTGTCTAATCTATAATTAAATAATCAAAAAATTTAGAATACACGTGCGTATTTGTCTAAAATTGATCTCTTTATCTTCTTGGTCGTTTTGTCTAATTTCACTATGGAGTTGCTTGATTTAACCAGACTATATTTGGTCCGCTTCCAAGTGGGTCATCAATGCCCTTTACAAGAAAATATAGCAAGCATTGACCCCAACGAAAGGTGCATCACATCCATGACTGACTCAACTATTTGAATTGGTCGCCTTTGATCTCTCTGACAAATGAAAATCAACTTGTTGGCAGAGTCTCTTCCATCTTGGCCAATTCACTAAAATTGGTTACAATGAATATGTCCATGAACGGCCATGTCAGCCGTATCTCTTCCAATGTGGGCCGATTAACCCACAATTAGCCTAGTTCCACCCACTGTAGGACAATTAACTCATTTGACGGTGCTAAATCTGTCCCTATAACATGCTTGACTGCTCAATCCGTTCCATTCTTAGTTAATTAATTAATATGATGGTGCTGTATCTAACCTACAACATTGTTGATGGCTCAACCCTTCCATTCCAGGTCAATTAATTAATTTGGTGGAGCTTCATCTCTCCCACAACATGCCTGTTGGTCCAATCCCTTCCTTTTTAGAACATTTAAACAAGCTTGTGTACTTGCAGTCAATAAATTAAATTGAATAGAAGTTGAGAAGCTAAAGAATTTGGTTGAAATTTTGTCCGAAAAACTTATGGTTCAGTCCTTTTCCATTTGTTTCCATTATCCAATTTGTCGCATTTGACGCTTGACAACAGCAAAATTAATAGTTCCATCTCTCCAGAAGTTGGGAATTTGAAGAACCTCATTTTTTTTTTTTTTAGCATCATTAACAACGGAGTAATAGGTCCAATCATGTCATTTGACAAATTTGGAATCTCTTTACCAGATCAAAAATCAAATTGATGGTCGCCTCTCTTCATAATTGAGGAACTTTTAGAATTTAGTATTTGATTTAAGAAAATAGAGCCATTTTTTATTTTCATTCTCTTAAAAAATAAAAAAATACAAGTGAAAACGTAGTAGGTAATTAAAAATGAAAACAGATTTTTAAAAAACAAAAATGAAAATGGGTAGAAATATGAAAATAAAAAAAATATTTTTAATTATGAAAACAAAGAGATATACATTACTTTTTTTTTACGTTTTGCAAGTTATTATATTTGAACACTTATCAACATTATTAATTAACAAATATATATTATATTTATAGTTAGATGACATTAATAATAATATCATTAAATATTTTATTATTTTTGCATTTTTAAAAAACAAAAAATAGAAAATAAACACTATTTTTTAGAAAATAAAAACAAAAAATAAAACCAAAAAACATTTTTTTGAACCAAATGGAGCCACTATCTTGGATGTCACCGATATTGGTATATTAATTCAAATTCCAAAAATATAACATTTGTTTGAGATTTTTTAAAGATTGGTTTAGATATTGCTTAACAAACAAAAAATACTAGCAAAAAATTGTTTGGATTTTTTCCAATCATTTCACTTATTTGTTAGGACGAGTGGGACAAAACACAATAATTATTTAAATTTAGTGTCTTTTACTAATAAAATATTTCAATTTTTAATATTTCAGTGAGGGCATCTACCGCCAATGCTCCCACCTTAAATTTGCCCCTGCTTTATTGACAAATTAGTATTTTTATAAATAGTAAAAGTTTATAGAATTAGATAGTAAAAAATTTATATAAAAGAATTGTAAAATTTTATGATATATACCTCATAAGATTATAGGAGATCGAGAAAATTTACATAATTATGATGATTATTATATTTGTTAAAAAAGATTGAGAGTGTTCATATAACTATGATGATTGTCATGCTTGTAAGTATATTAAAGGAGAATAAAAGAATCCACATGAATACATGTGAATGTTTATTTGAATAAAAAATATTTCATAAGATTGGAGAAAATTAAAAAATTGATAATTGTTAGTTGTAATCATTGATTGATTTATTAATATGTTTATAATTTTATATAATTTGTAGATTTTTTTTTATCTGTGAATATAAATAGCTTAGATTAGATTGAATCAAATTAAATTATCTTATGTGGATACTTTATAATTCAATTTACCTTTGCCTGCTTGGATATTCAATTAATTTAATGAGTGTTTGATCTATAAGAGCCTATTTACTGTAAAAGTAGAAAACAAATGCTTAACTCTCAAAATTTTAAAAATTTTAGTTCATGCGGAAGCATATTTGAGCTTTTAGACGAAGTTACAAATCAAAGTTTCTTCATAAGGTGCCAAGAAAATTCTTTACCTTCTCACTTTGTTCTTCTATAATTTGCAAAATTATAATTAAGTAACATTATTTTATTTCGCATTTTTTCATTTTGTTCATTTTTCTACTAAATTCATTTATTTTTTATTATAAATAACAAAAATATCTTTTATTTTACTTTATCCCCTAAGAACTTGTGATTTAATTTATTAATGAAAGATAATTATTTTATTTTTATTAAAAAATATATCAAAATATATCATATAATTATTTCAACATTTTACGTTATTTTTTCATTAAGTTTATCAAAAGCTATTTTAATTTCTCTTTACAATAATAAAATAACTCTACTCCAACAACAATTCTTATAAAAAGTTTAATCAAATCAAATAGACTCTGAATACTTTTGACCTAACAACGGGTACCAAAGTAACAAATTCAGTGGTCGAATCCCTCCTGTAATTTTAGAAGGTCCCATACCCAAAGAAACTAGTAATTTAGAATTCCTGACTTGGTTGTCCCTCTCTCAAATCAAATTGGATGGATTCATCCCACCAGAAAATCGAATTGCTTTGGAAATTGTGGATGTGAGCACCAACAATTTAGAAGGATGCATCCCGCCTGAAATTGGTATGCTCTTTCCACTGAACACTGTCGACCCTAGTCATAATTTTATCAGCAGAGAGATACCTTCCCAACTTGGAGATTCAATGAATCCGAGCATCTATGATATAAGTTACAACAATCTCTCAGGTCCTCTTCCTCCCTCTTTTAAGTTACAACAATTCGAGCATCTATGATATGGCACTGTCTGTCGATATGACTATGTCATAGGCCGTAACTGATGGAAAATGGATTCCAATGCATTTGTGTGTAACAAAAATTTTGTTGGGATGGTTAACATATGAGTAAAAAATTTTACATTAATAAGAAATCTGAATGAGATGTCTTATATATACATGAAAAATCCAATAACCCAATAACTTAAGTTTTTATATTCAAGTGGTATTTAATATGTATAAATGAACTCTCTGATGTACTCTCATGAGTTTTAAGTGTGACATAACTTCCCAACAAATTTGTCCCTGAAGCCGTATCCTTGTCCTATTTCCACGTTCATTGGTGTCATAAAGAAGAATTGAGACATATTTTCATTATGGAACTTTAATGGAGGATTGCATTCGAAGATATTATTGAAGCAACAGATGATTCTGAAATCCGATATTGCATTGGAACTGGGGTTATGGCAGTGTTTACAGAGCACAACTACCAAGCGGTAGAGTAGTTGCATTGAAAAAACTTCATAGGCTAAAAGCTTAGAACCCAGCTTTTGACAGGAGTTTCAAGAATGAAATAAAGCTATTATCAGAAGCAAACTGCAAATTTTTTCTTTTGAAAATAGGGATTTCTGGAAAAGAAGTAAAACATGGTCATTGTTTTATGATTTTGTACTATTCTTTTTTTTACTAATATAGTTACTTTATGTAGAACTTGCCTACACGATGGTTGTGACCGAAAAATGTGATGTTTATAGAATTTGGAGTCTTGGTAATGGAACTTTGATGGGAAAACATCCTGGAGAACTCATATCATCATTGTCATCACTGTCCTCTTCGCAAAATATCATACTAATCGATGTAATGTTTTAGACCAACGTCTATAACCTTCAACGAATCCAGTGGTTGCACAAAACATCGTTCTTGCAGCTAGACTAGCATTTGCATGCTTGAGCCGTGAACCAAAGTCCCATCCAACAATGAAACAAGTTTCTCAAGAATTCCTTTCTCCCCAAAGATCATTACGCCAACTTCTCTGGACAATCTCCTTGTTCCAGCTTGGTGTACTATGAGATGCATATGGAAGATGTACGACTCTCCACTGCATTCTATGCCAACTATTGTTTGATGCTGTTACATCTTATATTCAGCAATAAATTGAACATTTAGTTTTGGGAAGCATATCTGCTTTTTCGCTCCATTTTCCTTTCCTTCGGTGTCTGCTGCATGTATTTGACATTCACATTTTACAATCCAAAAAGTTGCAGTATGTATATTTATCATGTCGCTATTCATTAACTAGGAAAAGCAACTTGAGAAAAAGACTTGATCAACAAAAATAACCCAAAGGAAAAGTTACTTTTATGGAGAACATTGACATCTTAAACCCAAAAATATTTACAGTTGACAAACTGCCCTGCCCTGCAGAGAAGTACAACGAGACAGAGAAAAGGGACAAATCATGAATGTTAACATTCATCACAATCTGCCCTCGGATAACAATGGCTTTTGCTGATTTAAAGAAAGCTTGGCTGATTCTTTCGTATGTTGAACCGTAAAAAGCAGAATCAGGATACGACCACCACAAACACCCCTTGCCAATTCATTTTCCTTCTTTCTTTTCCTCCAACCTGAACTGTTAGTGTCAAGTCACCTTTTTATTCTTTCTTTTCCTCCAACTCAAAGGGTAATTAAAGATAAGCAAGTGGCGAATTAATGCAACACAAAATGTAACCGATACATACATCAAGAATTCACCTGAACTGCATATAATTCAGGAAACAATTTGTCAACTAATACAATGGAGGTACGATTACACAGACTCCGTGGCAAGAACTAGAAAGCCTGATATCAAAGCAGGAAAAGTAAAAGGTGACAAAACCCTGACAAAAGACAATCACACATTTTTTTTAAGCTAGGTATCGATAGAATTTCCTGTCACCTCTATCCCTCTCAAAAAAATCCCGCTTAATAAGGGACTCTATTCGTCTTTTTAATTACAACAGGGTTGGACGGGAACCGGGACTGCAGCTGTTTTTTGACCTCAGCAACAATGTTATTATGATCCAGCACACGCCTCGCTTTCATGATCCTTACTATTGCTGCCTCAATCTGTGGTTTCCTATCTTCCTCCACTCTGCCTAGTTTCTTAATTTTCAGGATCAGACTCCCTTTGTTATTCTCGGATTAGTTGAAAACAATAGTCAATTATCACTATTAAAATTTTAATTAAATTTTCCACCATTCCAAATATAGTTAGGAGAAAATATCTCTTTTAGAAATTTCTAAAAATATAACTATTCTTGATATTTTAAAATTTCATCATGGAAATAATCTCCAATCAATCTCAAAAATTATAGTTTTCCTTTTCATCTTTGATTTAGAAATAAATGTAAATTATTTTTATTTAAATTTTCATTTAAATTTTCAACAATTCTAGAGAATTTAAAAGAAACTTTTGCTTAGAAATTTTTAAGAAATCAACTATTTTTTATTTTTAAATTCCATCATCAGAACAATTTTTATTCATTTATGAAATTTACATTTTTATCTTTTCTCTTAATTTGAAAGTAAATGTAAATTATTTTTTATTAAAAATGTCATCTAAATTTTTCACCATTTTGAAAATTTAAGAAAATCATACTGTCAAGAAATTTTAATATATCAACCATTCTTGATTTGTAGAATTTTACCATCGGGATAATTATCAATTATTTCTAAAATTTAAAGTTTTTCATTTGATTTTTTGATTTATTATTTTTGTATGAAAATAAATGTAAATTACTTTTATTGAAATTTTCAACTAAATTTCACCATTTTGGAGAATTTATGAGAAAACTTCTTACCTAATGATTTTTAAAAAAATCA